GAAAATATCTGGTTTATAGTATGTACTCCATAAATGCTGGCTATTAGTTAGTCCAGCTATTGACTCTTGAAGATGTTGAAGAAATTTAGGAATTTGTTTTTCTCTTCCGATGTTGCTACTGTAACATTCAAATACACAAGAAAATGAAGAAAAAGTGACTTTCTCAAACCTGACCAAATGAAACAGCCCTCTTTCACATCAGTGCTCTTGTGCTGTTTCTTGCTAGCAACTCATAAGGTGAATTCACTTAACAAGACGTTGCTATGGTAAAAGCAGATGTCCCTGCTTCCCCTTTAGCCCTTAAAATCTCACTGTTTATGTGGCATTTCTCCAGTGTTGGCCAAACTGCTTTCATTAGAACTGTTCTGTTCTATCTACAGCATTATTGTTTTATCTGTGTAGGCCCTGATAACAAACCTCAAGGAAGAAACAGGCTGCTGGTTTAATAGTATGGAGCAACACAATTCAGGAGAAAGGTTATGATCTTTGTAGACAGAACACCCAGAATTGGGGAATCTGTTTCTACCCGTGTACCAATTTTGTGACATTGGGTAAATTACTTAACTTCCCTGAATCCTGATTTAATAGCTTTTTATCCCTGAGGAAAACAAGAGCATTTAGCAGGGTTTTCCTGAAACATCCCTTTTGCTTTCCCAAGACTCTTGCTAAATCAAGAGAATGCTTTAACTGGACAGGGAATTGAATGGCTGGATAAATATTCCCTGAGGCAAACAACAAATTGATCAAACCGTTGTTATCTGTAGAAGAATCTGCCTTCCTAACCATATAATAAGCCAGCTCTTTCTTAAAATGTCATTCATACAATGACACAAAGCAGGCTAATGATGTCGTTGTTACATTGTTTAATCTACAAAACACCCTCCGTACAATAGCTGGATGCAGAACAAGACACTGTGGGGAACTGTAGTCCAGCCAGACACTAATGAACACTCCAACTACTTTCTGTTAAATACTTGCCCAGGGCCATCACTACCAGACCTCCTGACAGGTGCTGCACCCTTCAAGCACTTGTTCAGTGGAGCTGCTGTATAGTACACATCCCTAGTGGATTTTGCTGAGCAGTGCAGTTTTGAGTATACACTCTTCATGGGATTTTGCCTTGGATTTCTATGGATTTCTGGTAGATCCATGCGTGCTTCTGTGGACCCTCCCTTGCTGGCAAGTCTCAGTTAGCTCTATCCTTCCCTGTTCGTGCCTGTTAGTGAAACTTAACCTTATTTCCCACAAGCCATCTCTGAGGTTCTTCTTTGTTCTCTTGGCAACCTATCCACTGTCTTAGCACATTTAAACTGTGGAAAAGACAAAGGAATAATATTCTTAATTGATAGTATTTTATTATAGAAAAATTTTATTAATATAAATAAATCTTGTTTATTATTTACTGTAATTTACTGATTTGCTATCACTTTCACATTTGCCTTTTCAATCTGTGTATATGTGTATGTATATGTTTATAGCTATTTTCTCAATTATTTGAGAGTAGTAAGGAAATTCTCTTATGTAACTAGAATACATATATCAAAATTAAGGAATTTAACATTAATATAATTGTATAAATGAATTGACAGGCTATATTCAAAGTTTCACCAATTGTCCTAATAATGTCCTCTAATCTTCTTTTTATCAGTCTCAAATAAATCACGATGATCAAACATTTTGTTCAGTCATCATACATCTGACAGCTCTACAGATCAGATTTTCATTAATTTTCTTGAACTTGACATTTTTGAAGAGTTAAAGCTAGTTGTTTTATAAAATGTCCTTGGATTTTGTTTTGTCTGTGGTGTCTTCATAATTAGATTCAGTTTGTGCATTTTTGTCAGGAATGGTGCCTAGGAATATTTAATCACAATATCACATCAGGGGGCGAACGAAGTCAATTTCTCTCAGTATCAGAGATGTTAATTAGGACTACTAGTTAAGGTTTTTATGATTTACAGTCACTCTCCCTTGTAATTAATAAATACTATCTGGTATACTTTTTAGCATTATGTGGTGACATCCTGATTTTCAACATTCATCAACCAGATTTAATCCATTGATAATTCTTTCTGGATCAATTATAATAATGGTAGCAACAAAGTTGCAATTTTTTCCAAATGATTTTTTTAAAAAATTCTATCACTACACCTGCATTTATTAGTTGGATTTTGCTCTAAGGAAGAACTTTTCCACTGATGAGTTCACAGCTAACTTGCTATTAGGAGGTAGGACCTTGTTATAAGCAGGTTATTGGGTTTTGGGGGAGTGTGACACAGAAGGATGTGTCTCTCTCCCAACCTCCTTCCTTTACTCTCTGCTTCGTGAATGCCTCCAGTTGAGCACTTTTGCCTGCTCCATGCCCCTCTGCTATCCTGTTTCTGCCTCGGTTCCAGCCAACTATTAATGGAAATCACGAACTAAAATTAACCTCTCCTCCCTTAAACTGTGGGTGTTCGGTATTTTTTCCCAATAGCAAGAGTGACTGAGGCAAATGGTTTATAATCCAATATTATCATTATATACATGGCTATCCCTTAAGCTAGAATCAATTTTCAAGCTCCTAATTTCCAAAGAAAATTTCCAACTAATTCAAAGTCAAAAGCACCCTTGTCTTGCTGTCCATCACCAACAAGACTGTGTTCCCTGGGAGAATGCTGTGCTGCAGCCAAGTGGTTACTGAGTAGCAATTGAGTGGAGCAGTATATATGAAATTGTTTTTTGTGTTATGGGTCTTGTGCTTTTAAAAAATCAATGTGTAATTTAGATATGATAAAATTTCTCCTTTTGATGTACACTGCTGAGAATTCTTACAAATATACCCCCCTATAATTATCCTCATTCCCAAATCAAACACTAGTGACCAGTGTTTTCTATCTCTAAGGTTTGCTGACACCTAAATTGTTATATAGATTGTAGCCTTTTGTATCTGACTTCTGTCACTTGAGATTTCATTCATGTTTCAATGTCAGAATAATAATTTGATTTTTCTTACCTAGCAGTATTTTATATTATGGACTCATTGCAGTTTGTTTCTATATTATGGGCCCTACTTTTAATGACTCAGTCCTTGAGCTCTCTCTTCATACTTCTTCATTCCTTCTTTTTTCCTCTTTTTGCTCATTGCTATCAACATCCTAAAGGAGATGTAGTATTGTTGTACTTGGTCAGATGTGAGGATGCTTATTTGACCCTGCTTTGGGTCTATGGCTATATAGCCTTGTAAATAGCAACAGGCTTATACTAAGCCTTTGTTCTCTTCATAAAAACTCAGTATGATGGTTAAAAGACAAGGCTTTGACTGTTAGTACCCTGGGTCTGCAGCTTACTACCTGTTTCACCTTGACAAAGTTATCTCATTTCTCTTTACCTGTGTTTCCTTCTATGTGGAGTAGATATAAGAGTATCTACAGTCTTGAATTATGAGCAATAAATGTTCAGAATTATAAATGCTTAAAATAGTAACAGGCACATTGTAAATTCTTACATGTTAGCTGTTATTTTGGGAGACTATTTTGACACATAGAAGGGCTTTTATTTTGCATAAAGATCTAGTATATATTAAATTTAACTAAAAGCTTGGTCTTGCTCTAGGAGGAGATTGGTCTCAGAGTCTTGGGAAGGTAGCTTTGAGTTGAGAGATAGAAACTAGATCCTACGTTCAGCTAGAAGCCATGTGGTCAACTTATAGGTAGTTGGGGGAGTTTTTGTATTTCTTCACCTTATCTTGCCAGTGGAAAGCTGCCTAATATGTCCTCAGGCACTCCTCCCATTGTTCCCACTCTGAGATAATTAAATTGACCTCGCTATAGCTGTGTCTGGATGAATTACGAGTTTGGCATTTATCTGATTCACACAGTCCCCTTAGCAATAGAAGAACAGGCTTGCTGGAAAATAGCGCTGCCTTAATCTTTCTGTGGGCTGGCAGGTCATGTCTCTACTGCACACACCTTCCCAACACCTTCAGTAGTATTCTCTTCACATCTTTAATCTTTGCTAGGCTGCTCCTGGTAAAGGACAGAAAAAATTGTGGGCAACAAGAATTTATTCTGATCTCTTTGAGCCTGAAACATTGATAAAATAAATTCTTCCATCCTAGCCTCTGGTTCTTTTTCCTTAATAAAAGTTTTGTAAGTTTCACCTACTGTGTATACTGTTGGATGATTATTCCCTTATTCATAGGATTCCATAAACTGTATTTATGTATGTATTTATTCAATATGCTTTTGAAAAAAATTATTCTTTTGAGATTTTAAGCATTCATTTTTATGTCAGATGTGGATCTATATTCCTTGGATTTCTATTTTTATAAGCAATCTAAACTCTTTCAAATTCTGCAGTAATTATAAAATTGTATCAGAATAAATTATCACTGTTATAAGCTTCTGATACAGAAAATTTTCCAGTCTTATGTTTTAAAATGATAAATCATTTTTATATAAGTTATGTAAGTATAACTCAGATTTTAAAATCCTGAGGAGAAAATAATAAACATCTAAAGTACTGCTGCCTAAAGATAATCCCTTTTCTTACTACATTTTTCCAGAATCAAGTCTATGTGTAAAACAAAAGCCTCACACTTTAATTTATTATGCCAATAAAAATGTTTCCATATTATTTTAATGTCTTTATAATTTTTTCATGTTTATCATCAATTTAACAATACACTATATACATATGTGTGTGTACCTACCATATTTGAAGTTATTTATTGACTTTTCTCCTACTTCTTTATTTTCCTGGTGTATCCTCATGTAAATTACATGATACATTAGAGTTTGTAACTTTATAGTGGTTTTTAATATTTGAGCATTTCCCCTTACTACTCATTTTTATAATTTTGAACTAAAGAATTGTTATTTAAATTAGAACTATTTAATTTTAGAAGACAGCCATAACCTTAAATGATACCCCTTACACTGTATCCCACAGATTTTATGTGTATGACTCATGCAGGTATGCACACATGCTTGTACAATACATATAACTTAAAGCAGAACCTTTGCAAAAAATGATGAAGCAGGAAGACTTGGTTTTCAGAATTTTCACCCTTTTCCCTCCATAGGCTTCTCTTCTTACTGGGAGCTCTTGAAGATGCCCAGCATTCTCAAATCTCTCTAACTATTCCCCATCAAATCTTCCTTTCAGTTAGTGGTCTACCTGGCAAAAGAAAAGACAATGTCATACCTTGTTCTTGTGGGTATCTGCTTTTCAATAATATCCAATTCTTTATCCCAAAGAAATGAAGTCTTGATGTTTGAATTTTAGTTTGTAGGCAGGAACCATCAAGTGAGAAAATTTTTACCACATATTTTGCATACTGGATAACCACATATTTTACAAACTCTGGACCTGGCTCAGCTGCTGGAGATCCAATTATACTATTCATAAGTTTTTAAGATTTAAAGTATTTCCTCAACATTAAATTAATACTAAATGCTCAGTATTATGCACAGCAGAACCCTCCCCATTTGTGAAATTACTGTTGGAACAGTTGAAAATGGTCTAATCATGGGGACAAAGTGGAGGACCAGGAATAGAGGAGTGGTGGAATGAAAAATAGTTCTTGGCTTTAGTATGACAACAGTGTATAGGACAACTTTTGAGAAAAAAAGGCTGGAAGAATAAAGGTCATAGGCTAGTAACTCGGAAGGCAAATCAGAATCCTCTATAGAAGCGTGCTTAATAGATGCCTGTGCCTTCACACAGGAGCAATCAAACCTCATCATCTGGAGGGAGGCATGGGGTGTTTATGTTTTATTTGCTTGCTTTAATGTTCTCGAGGTGTTTTTTAAAAATATGTCCAATATTGCAGTAAAATATATATGGTATAAACTTTACCATTTTAGCTATTTTTAAGCATACAGTGTCTAGGAGGTGTTTATTTAGGCTGTAAATAGTTCTAGTTAAGGAGAAGGAAAAAGTATATGTATAGGGGAGGCAGAAAGCTTTTGAAACAATACAGCTTAACCTTTCATGTAAGCAAATTATGACATCTATGATTTTTAGTTAATTGCCTAATAAATGTATGGTGATGGCTGTGCTTTCGATACAAAATGAGTGTGACCCCCTACCCCCCAAAAATTCATGTGTTGGAAGCTTGGTCCTAGTGTGGTGGTGTTGATGTGGTGGAACCTTTAAGAAGTGTCAGTTTAAGGTCATTAGGTCTTGGGGGCAACATCTTTGAAGGGATTAAAACAGCTCTCATGCGTTTATATGAGAATGGGGTTGTTATACAAAGCAATTCCAACCTGAATTTGTCTAGCTTCCTCTTTCACCGTGTAATCTCTCCCTCTGACATATATTTCCACCATGATGCCATCTGCCATGTTGAGATAGTCATGAGGGCCCTTACCTTTCATTCCCTAAAACTGTGGATTAAATAAACGTCTTCTCTTTATAAAGAATCCAACTTCAGATATTTTGTTATAGCTAACAAAAATGGACTACTACCATGACTTTTATGAAAAAACAAAAACAATTTGAGTTCCTAGGACTAAAAGAAGTAATGAATTAGTGTAAATTATTTGTGTGGGTACAAGTGAAATTTTCACATGAATTCCACTTCAGGGTTCTTTTTGACCTATAAGAGAATCTCAGCTTTGGTAATGAAACATCTTCAGATTGGGTAGCCAATTCTCCAACTTTGTATCATTTTACTAAATGATAGACTTGCATTCTGGCAAATGCTACATGTTTTAGATCACACATTATATGTACAGATGTGCATATTTCTCTAAATAATTCCTTAGATGCTCAGATCCAAATATAAATGTTCATCTAAAACATTACATAAACTTTGCTAATGTTGGGAAAAGGGGATGGTAGTATAGAGATGTCCTGTCTCATAATGACCTAAATTAAGTCAAGCAAATCAGATTGAACCCTTGCAAAAGAATTTCCCTCTACTATTATAAATCTGCACATATAAAAGGCTTTCTCTCTCATTCTCCTTTGCTTAGTTTCCCATCAACAGTGGCTAACACCTCACAAAAACAGGAACTAGCATTAATCATTAGATATTCTGTTCTCAGGTGCTTTTCAGAGGCCATTAGTTGTGCAGCAGAGCGAGTTTATACAAGAGAAACAAATTACTATAGCCTGTTAAAATCACACTATCTGGATGTGAGAGGGCATAGCTTATTTTGATCCTTGACTTTCTAAAATAAAAATAAAGCAAAATTCTTAAAAAGCAAGTAGTCAGTGCCCTATTCAATGAAGGTAGAAGGACTCAGTTACAGAGAGCAGTTCAACAGAGTTAACACATAAGACAATTTCTTTATGATTTAGAAAGTTATAAGAGCTATGTCTGTTCTATACAAGTCAAGCTCAAAAATTCTAAAAACAACTGCTTCTCTTTGAATTTAAAAGACTTCATAGAAGGGTTGAGAAAACTGAATCAGATGCTTTAAAATCTTTCTGTTGGATGAAATACAAAGATCATTTAATTAAGATCCAAATATTTATATGTTGATGTTTTGTTATGAACTAGAATAAATAGATGAAAAAATCTAAAAACACATTCTCTTAAAGATTTATGAATATATCATTCTCTCAAATGACATTGATGATCAGGCAAATCCAAACACAGCACGAACAATACATTTAATCATAGAACCAACATCTCCAACTAATGGCAAAAAAGCAGTTATACAACCTTGCTCTCCCTTCATAAGATAATTACAATTGTATACTTTTTCAGGGCAATTCAACTGCTAGCAGTGGAATTTCTCAACACTGCCATTCCCTTTAGTTCCACTGTGACATTACATGGTGAAGTGCCTCAGAGCTCTAGAGTGTCTTGCAGGGGCCAAATAACCCTAACTAAAAGAAGCAGCCTAAGTCTCAAGTGTATTTGCAGTGTTCAGGGACGCTTGGAGCCTCAAGAGGGAAGGAGGTTAAGAATGTAATCACTCAAAATTCAGAAATATCCTCTCTGGGTTTAGATATACTTCCACTCCAAAAGAAGCTCAGAGTCTCCATTAAACTTCTGTAGCTGAATAGAAATCTGTTAGAAAATTTGAAATTGTTTAACTACTTCAGCAAAGATGAGCTTTTGCTGGCTGGCAAGGATGATAAAAGAAGAGAAGAAAGAATGGGCTAGAAAACTTTTATTTGGGAGGAAAACAATGGGGAACCCTTTGAATATAATATTGATATATAATATCAAACCAAGGCAAATGATAATTGAGAAGCATCAAAGTATTTGGGACTCAAGAGTGATGTGATAATGCTGTTTTAAGGAAGATAATCTGGTATAATAATGAAGATGAGTTTAAAGAGGAGTTGGTTATGAGGTGAGAGATCTATGTGGTCTGAACTCTTCTAGAAATGAGCTGAATTTTAGTAAGCAATAAATTGTCACTACAAATACTCAGTGTTGAGGCAGGAGATAGAAGGGAGGTCTTTAGCCCCTTTTAGTTCTATCCTGGAAGATCTGAGTTAAAGATGCTCCTCTGGTTCATATACCACATTTGCAAGTTCAGAAGTTTGTTTGGTTCCCAACATTGGAGGGATCCAGCCTGTACAACACTGTCTCCTCCTGATATTGAGTCCTCTATGACGAATATGACAGATCCTTAAGTTCTATCCTGAACTATTCCATAAGTAGACATTTCAGTAACCAGGAATTGGCAAGATAGATGGTGGAGGTGTGACCTAGAGCTCCCGCCTTAGTCACCTATCAGACTCAGTCAATTGAAGACTCACCGTTCCTATTCATGGGATAGAGTGAAGTATTTTTTCCTGATCCTTTGCTGAATAACAATGAATATTATCAGCATTTGGAAGGCATAGTCATTTTGCCGTTTCGTGATCTCCCTCATAGGAGACAGGGAACATGGAGAGCTTCTTTTGAAAAGGAATAAAATGTGAGCAAATGAATCTAGAAATTATTGTTGGATTTGGACAGTAGCCTACAGAAAAGAACCCTGTGTAAAAGTGTAACAAACAGATTGCAGGTGTTTAATATGCCAGTTGTGGACATGACTGGCAAATATGTGCTTTCAGAGTGATTGATCACCCACACTTTCTCCCAGGCTGGCTGCTGCTAAGAATTGCTTAGTATTCTAGTTCCATGGCTGAGTTCTGGACTTGGAGGGCCTCTAGTGGCTGCTGCCAGCCTTATTAGTAAAGAAGGAACAATTGCTTTGTCATCTGAAGAGTTTTGTGCCCAGAATTTAAAATGGAACAGTTCTAAGTCTCTCTTCTTTTCATGACAGGCAACTTTGGAGTGACTAAAATGTTAGTAGAATTTATTGTAATGAGACAGGAATATTGGTATTTCCTGACTTTATTTGCACACGTTATTGAATTAGTGTCACAAGTCACAAATGTTACTTCAGCACCTCTCAGCTTGTGACCACAAACTTTCTGGGAAAACTAAGGACAGTTGGTGTGAATATTGTTATATCAAAGCAAAGTCCACCGTATCCTGGAATTTGGGGACAAGCTTCTCACCCACTCCCCCTAAAGTAGTAGGAAACAGTAGCATGCACTGTAGGGGTCATAGAACCCTAGGAAACTTTTTATATGACCTTGTTCTGAAATGAAACAATGGCCAATCAAAGCTTAACTGGCCTTTTAGGGTAGAATCCTAAATGAAAGCAAAAGTATACAATAAACAAATTTAAGAACATTCAGAAAGAAATTAATTGCATTCTTGGAAGAGAGCGTAAACAGTATCTTTAGAGAAATATGAGAAAATATTGTTCCCACAACGCAAGAATAGAATGCTATATAAAAGGAACTATGAAAGAACCTGAAGGAGGTCTTAGAAAATTAAAATGTGATTGAAAAAATTAAAAAGTCATTATTGGGCTTTAAAGTCCAAATAATTAAAAATTTTCAAACATCAAGAAACTGAACTAAGCACTTTGATACAGAAGCTGATCGTGTAGATAATAGTGGGTTCTCTCTTTTTTTTTATACCTGAAATAGAATTGAGCAACTTGCTGAAAGTCACCTAGCTAAGGAGTCACAATTAAAACTCATTCTAGCTCGAAAACTATAAGTTTAAATGCTGTGTTATACAATTCTAGTAATAATAGGTAACATTTATTATGTGGTTACTCAATGGTGGGCCCTGTGATAAATGTATTAATTTTCTTCTCAGAACAACCTTATGAGTAAACACCACTGCTCTCCATTCTGTAGT